TCTCTCTCTCTCTCTCTCTCTCTCTCGTGCACACACTGTTTGTCTGGATACTCCTGCATGTGTTACTCTATGTTATATCTATTTTTTTTCTTTTTCAAGTAGATATGTTGTCAAAAGTGATTTTATCACTTAAGTAACCATGTAAAAGTAAAAGTAAAAAAAATAATTTCTACTTTTTTAAAATTAATTTTCTATAAAACAATTCACCACGGTCGCCACCACCCCACCATCGCCTACTGCCACCGCCATCATTATCTCATTCTTATATTTATTACCTTTACCATCATCATCTGATCACTACCCACCGCTACTCACTATCACAACTTATCACCACCCATGGCCGCCCACCACCACTACTACCCACTTTCACCCACCTCCACCACACCTATAACCGGCACCGCCCATACCCACTGTCGCCGTCATCCATGATTGTCACTATTATTATTGTCACCAAAAATTCACCATCACTATCACCATTACCACTCACGACTGTTATTATCACTATGGTCGTCACTGCTCACCACAATCATCACTGTCTCCTCCCACTACCACTACTATCGCTCGCCGTCATTATAATCGGTGATTAAATTTTTTTCTCTCTCTTGTATGTTTGTGATTTGATTGAGTGTGAATAAAAATAAATTTATAATTGACAATTTTTTTTTATTATAAAGGCACGGACAATAACTGATATATATATATGTATATAAAAAAGCTGCTGCATATATTTCTACATGTCTCACCTACCAATCGAAACTTAATTACTGATATATGCATATTATGATAGGACGAGAAAAGAGTGCAAAAGGTTATGCCGACGACTATGGCAAACTTATAGGGCTCTGTTTGGGTTCATATAAGAATGGAACGACAGCCCCGCAATAGGGCCCACCTGTGAGGGCCCATTTACATCACTCTTGATTTGGGATATGACTCCGAAGTTAGACGGGCTGATTAATCATCTTTGCACTAGATTTCTCGGTAATGGGCCTCATTGCCGCTTGGCATATTGTAGAAGACAATTGACTTTGACGAAGACTAGTAGCCATCTACAACTACCAATCAAATGGAGCTTTCGTGCTGGCCAGCAATTGCAAATATATTGATGCAGTAGTAGTGTCTGGATTGATAGCGGAGTGTTTTTATTGTTGGTCCCATTAACAATTCAATGGTTACAATCATTTGTTTTTTTTTTTTTTTAAATTTTTTGCTTGAGAAAAGTGAAGAGCACAATAAAGAAGTAAAAGTAAAAAAACAACAAAAGCTAAATCCTAAGCTAAACTGATTGCTATTCTATCTTGATTCACATCTTTGTGCAGATAGTATGGGAGATTGTCCCTTTGGAGTTGGCCTGTGTGCTTTGCCTTTAAACCCCATCTTGCAAGTTTATGTGCTGTGCTGTGCTGTGCTGTGCTGCACCATTTGCATTCCGGTATGTGTGAACTATGCTCCAGTCGGGGTGCATTTTGAGCGTTTCTTTCAGGTCTTGGATAATTTGTCAGAATAACCGAGGAGCTTTTTATTAAGTCCTCAAATTATGTCTTAAAAACATTGATCAAATATGGTCACAAAGAAGAGTTGAAAGAAAAGTGCATAAAAAAAAGTGTCAGTGCAAAGGTTGATTGCACCTTTCTTTAAAGAGATTATAAAGGATGAAATGAAAGAGATAACAAAAGAAAATAGACACAGCAACCTACATCATCCCCCAAACTGTGTTAAAGCTGTTGTGTTAGTTATGCAGGTGGAGTAACTGTATCGTAGCTGCTTGCTTAGGCTACTTTAATAAAGTCGCAATTGAGAATTGAGACCTTAAAGCATTTTGATCAAGTCAAATTTTCCTTTCCTTAATTTTAAATGGCTCCAATCAAACAATTATCACATCGAGAGTTCTGGAATCAGATAAACTCATCCTAATTAAGAAAAAAGAAGCAGGGGAGGGGAGGGGAGGGGACCCTCTGCTCTACGAATCTATTCGACGTGCAGAAGAAACCAAATAAAGTTAAAAATGAAAACGATTCACCCAAGTTATTTCTTTTGCAGATAATATAAACGGCCAAAATTTCTCAGGCCTAGAGTTCGCATTAAGAAGAAGGAGGAGGTAAAGTTTCCATTGGAGTATTTCACTGGTACTTTTGCCGCCATGACAATCAAGATCAAGCTATCATCTGCATTGGTGTAGTTTGGATTGCGAGTACAAATCCGGTCTCCACCATTGACGGATTTCATGAGCTTCTTTCCAATTATTAGTGGGGCTCAGATTAGTTGTCAGATATGCAGTAGGAAGGAGATGTACTGGTTCTGAATCCTTTCCAAATGCACCAGAGAGTAGAAGACTTCCTAATGAATTCTGCATTGCAAGCCTTTCAATTCGTCCCCCAGTGCCACCATTCTCCATCATCTTATCCCTGTGCTCAAAATATCCAATATACTCTGAGCAAATCGGATCCGATGGATTAACATAAAGGTATGGAACCCATCCAGATAATACACTGAATGGATCAGTTTGGTTTGGTTTTTTATGGCGACCCTTCACGGCTACAGCAAGTCCAGCTGTGATGATACTAGTTGTGAAGCGGACTCCATGCTTCAACTTTTCATTCTTGAAATGTTCTATAGGTGCCGAAAAGAATGGTGGATTGAAGAGGTAAGTTTCAAGACGAAAACCCAACTTGGTCATGTTCCTTCCAGCCAGCAGAGCTATTACAGAACCCTGAGAATGTCCCGCTAACCAGATATTTGCAGCTCCAGCAGAAGCAACCATATGCTGCACAGCTTGCACGGCAACCTTAGAGCGGCGGCTATGTTGAAGAGTATTGACAATGACCTGAAGATTCAACTTGAGATCCTGTAATGTGGTATCTGGTTCGATGATGGTGCCTCTAAAGGCAATAACATATCTTGGAGGATTGTGGGGTGAATAGTTCAAGTGGCAAGCTGGAAATTTGAACTCATAGATAGCGCCAAAGATGGAGTGATCATCATCATCCACTAGCAAGCGGATTAATCTAAAATGGAAGAAATCCCACCAGGGTGGAGCAAGAGCTTGAGGTCTTTGGCGTTTGTGCTGGCGGTCCATTTCTAGAATGTACACTCCATTAACCAAGCTGGCAGCTATGGATCTTCTGTGATGTGTGTTTTTCCTGCAGCAATTAATGTAGCATCAAACTATATTTGTTCGGGACAACTTGAAGCTGAAGTTAATCCTAAACAACCTATACAAAAACAATATATTAAATAATAACTCAGGCAACATGTAACTCAAAGAAGATGTGTTTCAGTGAGAATTCACCACAATATTTTCCCTTAGACAATTAAAACGGTAAATTCACTACAATATTTTCCCCCTAGCTAATGGTACCTTCCCATCACCCTGGATTTAGCATTGACTAAAATTTTGAGATGAGACCTTTACTCATCTTCCTTTTTAAATAATTCTTATATCAGAAAACCCATTTGTGACCATAAACCAGACCGAAAATATGTCGAGTCTAAAGCAATAGTAGAACTTCTTCCATCAAGATTGGTATTTTCAGATTATAGCATTATAAACATATGGAATGTGATACAGCTAAGCAAACATAGTACAGTTGTAGAACATCCTTACCAATCAATAAGAGTAAGGTGTAATGGCCCAGAAAAGTAGAAAATTTCGCCCTCAGAAGCCATTAACCCAAAAGTTTCCTTTATGTCGTCTTCCTGCTATCCTCGNTATCTTGGAGGATTGTGGGGTGAATAGTTCAAGTGGCAAGCTGGAAATTTGAACTCATAGATAGCGCCAAAGATGGAGTGATCATCATCATCCACTAGCAAGCGGATTAATCTAAAATGGAAGAAATCCCACCAGGGTGGAGCAAGAGCTTGAGGTCTTTGGCGTTTGTGCTGGCGGTCCATTTCTAGAATGTACACTCCATTAACCAAGCTGGCAGCTATGGATCTTCTGTGATGTGTGTTTTTCCTGCAGCAATTAATGTAGCATCAAACTATATTTGTTCGGGACAACTTGAAGCTGAAGTTAATCCTAAACAACCTATACAAAAACAATATATTAAATAATAACTCAGGCAACATGTAACTCAAAGAAGATGTGTTTCAGTGAGAATTCACCACAATATTTTCCCTTAGACAATTAAAACGGTAAATTCACTACAATATTTTCCCCCTAGCTAATGGTACCTTCCCATCACCCTGGATTTAGCATTGACTAAAATTTTGAGATGAGACCTTTACTCATCTTCCTTTTTAAATAATTCTTATATCAGAAAACCCATTTGTGACCATAAACCAGACCGAAAATATGTCGAGTCTAAAGCAATAGTAGAACTTCTTCCATCAAGATTGGTATTTTCAGATTATAGCATTATAAACATATGGAATGTGATACAGCTAAGCAAACATAGTACAGTTGTAGAACATCCTTACCAATCAATAAGAGTAAGGTGTAATGGCCCAGAAAAGTAGAAAATTTCGCCCTCAGAAGCCATTAACCCAAAAGTTTCCCTTATGTCGTCTTCCTGCTATCCTCGAAGAGATCTGTATCCGGTAAAAGATGAAGCAAATACAAACATATATAGTACACTTTATGCAAACCTAAATGCATAGCACCATATGCAAGGAGTTGGACGTGATTTGATAATCATGGCCCTATGTCAAATGCATATAACATAATAGTGAACTTAATTAACCAGCTTTTACAAATTTTCTACTACTGTTGTTTTCTCATTTTTCCCTTTTGCTGTCGAGAAGATCTTGCTAAGAATCATACAAAACAATAGAGCAGTTCTTCAGCTACGTTGGATTATATCATGAGGCAGATGGTGTCGAAGGGACTGGCTTGAAGGCTAACGGGAGACAAATGTAAAACAGCTAGAAGTTTTATTGTTTCTGCATGAAGGTGCAGTCTGCAGTGAGGGTGGGAAACCAAGCTGCGATGAGTTTGATTTCACCAAAGCATATGACAGTTTTCCACCAAGATTACTGACAAAAGACAACCATCAAGATAAGTTCAAGGGTTATAAAGTCCCAAGGATTATCACATTCAAAGCCACTGTAAACATAAATCAAGTATTGTATGCTATAACTATAGAAAATGTTCTTGTAGACAAAGCTCTCATTCAGGTAAGAAGGTTCATATGGAGGTAGATAACTACTCGAAAGAGTGACTCAATAAGGACGCAAACTTTATCATGGGGAAAAGAGACTACAAAATTGTGGCTTATTTAGACAATGATACAAAAAACACATATATGTTATAATTGATTTCTTTTGTTCCGGGGATAGTGAGGATATACTAGTGTAGTTTTTCGACATGAACTTGCAATATATGAATATCTACCATAGGGGATAATATAAGGGTGCATACTAAAAGTTTGGTTTTCAATATCACACAAAAAAATGAATCTAAGTCGTAAATCAAATCATTTGTTATAACCATTCATCATAAAAACTATACAATATGATAAAACAATAAAATGGTGAATCTTTCCACAAGAAATATTGTGATCGGATAACAAAGTTACCCATTATTCATGTTGAGTTTGTCAAGTCTGCATAAAACCAACTTGTTTGTGCCTAAGCATTATTAGAGACACCAGACTTTACGGAAAGTCAAAAAAAAATTGCTTCAGAAATATATATATATATATATATATATATATAGGGACACAAAAATGCATATCCAATTAATAGTCACAATAGACGTATGGGATCAATATCATGGTATTAGAAACATCAAGTTCATGGAAGAACCTGATAAATAAATAAAAAGGTTCAAATTTTACACATCTATAAGCAGGAAAATTACCCAAATGAAAGCTCGCCTGCATCACCCATTACGAATACCCCCAAAGCGCTAAATGACCGCACTCCATTTAAGCTTAAATCTGCAGTTATGGATGGAGAGAGAGAGAGAGAGAGAGAGAGAG